AAAAAAGTGTAAATGAAAATTAAGTATTGCTTTAAATATTTGTTGAAAAAATACAAACATATTTTTCTATTTTATTTTTACGAAAAAGAATGAAACTAAAAATAATAGATATATTCTCTGTAAGACGTTAGGAATAGTGAGAAATGATATTTCAATTATTTTTAAACATTCAATTTCAATTATAACATTTATTTTTAATGTTCTTTCATCTGAATATTATTATTTTAATATATTAACAGAATGAAATATAAAAATATTCTATTGTTTCAACAATTAAAAAATTGGTGTTTATGTTATTTTGTTGAAATATATTTATATTTTTATTGTTGTAGTTTTATTCATTCTTTATGTATTATTCATTTTATTGTTATTCTTTTATTCTTCATTTTCTTCTAATTCGTTAATATTATTAATATTATCTACTCTTTGTATTTTCTTGATTTATTTGTTTCTTCTTTATTCTTTAAATCACTCTCATATTTCTTCGTTGTGTTTTATTATGTTATTTTCTATTGTGATAACACTATTTATTTTTATTGGAATTATTGTTAAAATATTATGATAGTCAATGTAAATGAAATACCAAATGAAGATATAATTGTATGATAGTAATGCATGTGTTTCTAATTACAATTAATACATATTCTCATTTTTATATCTTTGTTTTTTATTGTTGATATTCTTTTCTCATTCGTTTGTTATGCTTGCTTATCTTTGTTGTAGTATTTCATCCAATACATCATTTTCAATTAATACATGAAATAGATAAATAATAGAAAGTACATGTGATAAGGTATGAAGAATAAAGAAAATGAACAAATGAAATTAAAACAGAATGAAATAAACACAAACAAAATCTACATCAAACGAATAATTGTATATTCACTATAAAATGAAATGAACAATGTATAGTTTATTATTGTATTAATCAACTTATTGTATTAATTGAATTATATTACACTCTTATTTTAAATTACATATTTTCTTCAACCTAAAATAATAATATCATTTTTATTATCACTTATTCAAAAACATATCAAATAACTAACAAATTGTATCATTAACTCTTCATTGACACTCTATAACTTATTTCATTCATTTGATATTGTATGATAAACTAAGTCATTCACTTTTCACAAAATTGTGTTATTCTAGTCATTTCGATAAATCTCTATAAAACCTTCATCATTTAAATTTTCTTTATCAATAAAACATGTTCT